CCCCCACACTCCTGACTCTTTTCTCTTGTCTCGCTTCCCTGTTGTCGTTCAATACAGGCAAGGGCCACGTGCCCTCCGCACACGACTTCAGGCGGCAGTGTGGAGCGATCGTGCTTGACGCGGGGATGGAAACAACACGGTCGTGTTCAAGTACGCACACACGATACTGGTGCTCATTTTGACCCTCACCCATATCTGCGGAGAATGCCTCCCACGCAAGAGTGTGTGTCTTGTCTTCCGCTCGTCGCTGAATACGTGGGAGATAAAGGCAGAGCAGGGAGGGAGAGGAGAGGGTAAACAACGGAGCGCTGAACGAGAGCGTAAACGTAAATAACTGGACGAGCAACTTGATTGAGCATCATTCGCTCATCAAAAAAGCGCATGCGCTTGCGTGCTTACTTCACCGTAGTAGGATCCGGAGTCCGAGGAGTATAAAAAAAATGCCGGTCACAAGGAAGCAAACACAGCAGTCTAGGTAGCCTTAAGGAGAAATAAATACAGCCTTACACACGATGTCCTGTTCGGAAGGCAAGCAAATTCCTCCGCGTTTTTGAATTCGCCTGCTCCCTCATAACTCGGCGACAGCAACGCCAGCACTCACCCCTCCACCCCACGACTGCACTAGTCCCACCCATGAAGCAATGATGAAGATCGCGAGGGCGCTATGTCTTGTCTTCATCCTTCGCAGGCGCACACACACAACGCTGCTTCAGCTCTTTGCTGGGTGGTCGTTCACTGCTTGCTCAGTCAGCCAGCACGGCCTTGGGGGGGTAGAAGCCGTCACCGGAGCCCCCAGCAAGAGCTTTCCGCCGGCGCGGTGCTGCTCACCCACCATGCCACCACCCCGCTGAACATCACCATCGCCCCGGCAGCAACACCACATACCGCTGCTACCCGACGAAACTCACCGCTACACTCTGCACCCTATCGAAACCACCATTATTCTCCAGGCGAGCACCGGCATGGGCGGGGCACAGAGCGCGGAATCCGCGGGCACGCCTTTTGTCCCAAACAAGATCCTGAGCGTCAAGGTGAGTTTCTTTCGTGACTCTTTGAAAATAGCTGACAACAGCAGGTGCACCCTCTCGCTCGCCCGCTCTCTTGGCCGTGCCACCACGTGCTGCTGCTGCTGCTGCTGCCACAAGGCTCGTGTACGAAGTCCACCCCGGTGGCTCTCATTCGTGGCTCTCTCATGCATAAACCCGCTAGAGCACACCAGCAGCGACCCTCCTGAAGCCAAACATTTTTTGTTTTTTGGCCCCAGACCCGCTGCTTTGTTCAATTCAAGTACGTACACCTCATGACACATCGCACGTCCCTGCTGGTGGGAATGCGGCGAACAACATGATGATTTTTTCGTTGTCCACCCGCTTGCAGTAAAATTGGGGAGGAAGGCCCAGATACAATCCACCTCTCTTCCGTGTATGCCCTCGAGAGAAGGCACGCCGGCCTCCACGTTAGGAGTTGACTCGAGCACGCGACTTGTAGCTGACTTCATGGACTGCTGTGGTTCGCCCATGCGCGAGTTCAACCTCTTCAAACCAGGTCTCTCTCTGAGTCCTTTGAAAATATTCCAGTCCCGCGCGCCGTAGTGTAAAAAAACACTTTCACCCGCCTGGGTGGCTTGAGAGAGTCTCTGCACGGAACTGCTTCGCGCACAAATCGCTGCCGCGCAGTCTTTCCTTCATATTGTTGAACACGAGCGCAATAGACAGTCAACAGTTTGTTGAATACTCATCGCGGTTGTTCTTACTTCCGTGCGCCTCGGTCGGTATTCTAAATGCCGAAGTTTTGTCACTTTGGTGGAGCCAGGAGGGTCAAGTGGAAGGGTCGAAATTGCCTCCACCCGATGGACCCTACTTTTTGGCAGTGTTGGTTATTGGTCCGGAAGAAGGGTTCGATCCAGTACACCCAGAGTATCGAGAAAGAAACGCAATACCGATATTTTGTTCAATATTCTGAAAATGGCTCGATACGTACCGAGTATCGAAACTGTACGGCTGTTTTGAAGGCATCAGGTCACAAGAAGCGCAACTTCACGCACCCCTGCACACACCCGAACCCCATCGGAAGTATTGAAGTATAACTACTGTACAGCAGTAGTGCGCAAGACGTGCGCGCATGGTCCGGCGGCATGCAAGTATGGAAGTAGGTGTGTGCCAGGTGTGCGCAGTTGGACATCACGAGCACAACAGCAGGAGGGGGGCACACGCTGTGGTGTGATGATGCGTAGAAAACTGCATCGTGCAAGAGGCAGGGTGGGTGTGTAGCTGTGTCGGCCCGATATATTTTGTTACTTTTTGCAGCAAGAGTGCATGTGTGTATGCATACACTGCACACCCGTACTGTTGCGATCGACTTACTATATAATACGTCGTAGACGTATCATGTTGGTGCTGGACTTCGAAAACTGCACGAAGCATGCAAACTTCCACCCGCCAATTGTTGGGTGCCCAACAACGCACCTCAAGCGAGTATCAACTCTAGACACCCGATTGTAGCCAAAAGGAAACAAAAGAAAAAGCAAAAAAAACATGTACGAAAAGGAAATGGTGCGCAGGCGCTGTTTGTGTGGTGTGTGGCAGGTGGCTGGTGTGTGAGTGTGATGGCAGTGGGGGGCGAGAGGAGTAGGGGCCGGAGCGAAAACATGGGGTCGAAAGCTGGGAAAAGGAACTCTCCCCAGTAAAAAAGGGGGCCAAAATATCGAATGTCAAATACCGATATCGATACCGATACCGATTCGTACCGACATGTATCGGCGTGGAAATCCTCAATACCGATACCGCTTATCGCCGATATATATCAGTTTTGAATCGATATTCGATGCCCAATATCCATCACTGGTTTTTGGTCTCTACAGCCAGTAGTAGTTGGTGCATGCCGTCAGCGTTCGCTTCCTGCAAATTTACTTGCTAACGTATGAAGTCTGCAATACAGGCCGCCTAATACTAATACTTGAAGTATGTGATATTGTCGTACCGAGTTTGCTGTAGGACAGACGGTCAGTTCCAGCCCCCACCTACAAACTGCCGTCTCTGCATTTGTCTCTGTCAGGAGCACGCTTGGCCTCGCCTAGATTTTATGTTGGCATGGGTTTTAATAATACAACAGGGCCCTTCTTCGGCCTCTATCCGTGGTACAATGAAGTGCTGTTTTTTCGTTTTTGTTCTTCACGTTGAGCCAACAAAGCCGGACCCAAGGGGATTGCTGTTGCCCGTGGGATAACTTACGCCTCCAAGAGCCTGACGTACGAGGATTGCGGAGACACTGCTATCACATGTTGGTGGTTCCATCTGGGTTTCACGGCTCGTTGTGTACCGCGGTTTTATCTCCCTACGCTAGTCACGGCGAGTGGAACCGAAGGAGAAACCCAAGTTGGTACGTACGGATTGCGTGATTGCTGACAGCCGTTCCGTGGTTCCTTTTGGACAGCTTCTTCTGCACACCTGCCATGACTAGAGCCGGCCGGTGAAACCGCGACACATCGAGGTGTTAAAACGCAGGTGGTAAATGCTGCTGTGGGAAACAGATGGGAAGGGAAAGGTGGCGCACGCAGTTTCTAATCGGTCTAATACCCTTGCGGCGGTTTTTTCAGAGATTTTGCATCTGCACACATGTAGCAAGGCTCAGCTGACGAATTGACAGAAGCGTCCCGGAAATAAACATATTTTGTTCTGAATTCTCCTTGGTCAAAGGGGCAATTATTCGTCCGCCTGCTGCAGATCACGCATTGCCTAGACATACTAGGAAATGCTACGCGTTGAGAACAGGGCGCGCGATTTTTCCTGCTGAGTACGCCTTGGTGCCGGAAAGCATTATTTTGGCGTTATTTGTGCGTGCCGCAATCTGATCTGAATGCCCCGCGCGTTTTCAATTTGCACTGCCCATGTCTTCGGTCCCCACGACGACTGGGCTGCGCTCGGCGCAGGACACCATCCTGGTGGACATGATGAACGGGCCAGATAACAGCAGGGTGGTTAGCTACTGCGTCACCGATCCCGATGTGAGTTTCGGCGGACCGCCTTCGTGAGGAAAATAACTATTGATCTTATGATGAATGGAGAGGGGAGGTTCGTATCCCTAACGCTAACCCAAACCACGTACTCCCTACTAAAGCCAGGCTTGAATTCCTTGTGAAGGCTTCTGGTTGCCGTTAAGAGAGGATTTCATAGCTCGATCCCTCCACAACCCTGGGGTTTGTCACTGCGAAAAGGGGTTGGTCTTGCAAGTATCTCGTTGAGTGATCGCCGTAGTTCGACCTGTCAGACGGTTTTCGTTCCCTCTTGGTTGTGGAGCGATTGAGCTACGAGAGTCGGTAGAGGAGGGGGGGTGCGAATAATCGCCAAACAATGGCACGCCTTAGCGACGAGATAGGATGCTCTCCTTTGGGATGTGCAGGGGATGCTGGAGTTGCCCTCCGTGACTCTCAACTACCATGTGTGATGCATAGACATGTGTTCGCCCGACCGTATTGTCCGGCCTTCCTTGTTCTGTGTGCCCCGTTTGACTGAGCAGTTGGAGGACAACCCAATCATTTTCTGCAGCGACGGTTTCGCAGAGTTTACGGGCTATGCAAAGGAGGAGGTCGAGGGAAGAAAGTGAGTCAGACACTTGCTGTTTCCAGGAGTGTTGCGGGGATGAGGGCCAACGGTAGGTAGTGGTACGGGAGGGTGTGCGTGCTCATCACGAGGCGTTGCCATCACGCACTCCGATCGACCTATTGCTCGCTTCCTTGCGAAGCCCCCCGGCAGAGTATTAGGGGTATGCACTGTCTTGCGCACCACTCCATGTATGAGGGAAAGAGGGTTGTAGTGGGGGCCCCGGTGTAGCGACCCGTCGTGTCGCGACGAAATGTGGCCGCTATTCAGAGCAGATCGCTAAATCGAACTACAGAAGTAGCAATCATATAGCAGTTGTACCACCGGGCTGCGGCGGTGCCACGTGATTTTGTGGTCGCTGAACAGGCGGTCGCTAAACCGAGACACCCACTGTACATATATTTGGTGCGATATTGTACACCAGTGATGGGAGACATGAGGCTTGGGATGAATCAAAGCGGAAGGGGGTCGCACGGAGAAGTTAGTGTGTATTACCCGGGTTTACCGGAGTGATTCAAGGAAATCATTCGGCGTGACCTACGGATGTAATACAGTGTCTCAGGGAAAGAAGGCATGCAGGCGTCCAGGCGACTAGAAATGAGCTAGGGCGTCAATAGCTTGTGGTTTTTGTAGGGGGGGGGAGAGCGGTGGGCAGCGAAGAGCGACGCGACCCTGTTCGAAACGCAGATGCTGTTCACCACTTTGTCTGCAGTCGTTGCTGGCTGGAGAAGCGGCGTGGATAAGAGGTGCTCCCGTCCAGCCTAATGTCGACGCACGTGGCTGGCCTTTTGATCGGTCTGCTATGCTGCTTCTCTTGTGGTTTTTACTTTCTCGTATGCCTGCTATTGGAAGCGCAAGAGAACGAGCAGCCTCTAACGCCGGTTCACTTACCACTTCCTCCCGCATCACCCGACCCTGCCCCCGCACCGCCTCCACCTTGCACGTTGAATCGTTGTTGTGGACGAACAATAATGAAATGACGGAAAAATCTCCTGTTTGGTGTTTGGCGTCGCGGGTGGACCCGGCTCCCAGCTGCCGCTTCCTACAGGGGGCAAAGGTACGTGAGGTGCAGAGCGAGATGCATTTTTCCCGACGCCAATGTCGTGTTTGTCGTGATGAATTGATCGTTGTTTTATGTCTCGAAAGGGGTTCCCGCTTTAGAGTTTAGTTGGCCTATGGCCACAGAACGCGCCCTGGTCAGCACGGATATCAGAAGGTACTGAGCGGAGACTAGCACAACAACTCATCTGTTGCCAATGTTAACTGTACAGCCTTGCGTTTTCGGCTGAAGAGCGACTTATGGACAACCCGGCGATGATTCTCGCGTAGGATATGCTGGGTTCATGGTATTTCCCGAGACGGGCTAGGTTGTACAATTCGTTGCTTGTTAGTCCACGAACAGCTGAGTGGGGCGACAAGTGAATGCCCGCCGACACATGAGATGCCCGCCCGCGACGAGCATATATCGAAGCGTCAAGTGTGTGTCGCGGTGTTAAGAGCGGTGACGATGAACCTACAGAATGAACTTTGAACGAAAACAACACTGGCTCTACGTTGGGTCTCACGATATTGGTCGGTCCAACGACACGCCGACGGTGCTGCCTCCGAGTCGTTCGGGCTGCAGACCCGAGTTATTTAGACTCCCACGATCCAATGAGTTGCGAGGCATCGCTTTGTGTGGAGAGTACACCCACCTGCGGTTCCACTTGGGTGTAGCTGCGATATTTCGTACAGACGAGACGGCGGGGGGGGGGGGGGGGGG